AATACAAAATTTATAAAAAAAACTATAAAAAATAAATAAAAAATAAAAATACATTTTGGTAGTCGTCCCCATCTCATTTCCTATTTCCAGCATTCTACTTCCATCTTTGCATTCGAGTCTGTATTCAACTCCACCTCTGCTGTCGCTTATTGTACTCCATTTGCATAATGAAGCCCGGGCTTAATTAAGATCCCACTGGAGTCTGGAGCCAAGGATGAAGAAAAGACGTATCGAGGAAGAGTGGAGGGAGGTGGGGGCTGGGATCAAGCGTTCCTTGGCTTATCCGCACGTGTCCAGAGAGGAGGTAGACTTCAAGGGGGAGGGGGGCTAGTCGTTGACGAGCGATTAAATCGCTAATTATGATCGGCTGTTAGAATTGGTGTGTGGCTGTTAATTAGCTGCAGATGAGATGCCCAGACTGTTGCCCGCCCCTGACGACTCCAGCAGCATCCTCCCTGGATGGCAGTGAAGAAGCACAGCTTGACACCCTGGAGATGATGCCAACACATCCTTCTCTTTAACACATATAGCACTCTGAGGGGATTTCCCTTTAAGAACATCCCAGGTGTGCAAGTGCAGCAAAAAGGCTCTTCATCATCTCTGTCGACCCACTCCCACTGTTCTTCGTTAAGCAAAATTTTTTCCACATTCCTTATTTCTTTTGCTCATTATTTTTCATCCTCTCTAAGGAAATATGTTACACTCACTCTTCTTCATTCCTTTCACTGTCCAGCATCTTCCGTGAAGTGAAGTGAACAAGGTTGGGACAGCATTAGCCAATGGGCTTGTTGATCCATAGACTTGCAAAAGCTGCATTTGTGAGTCTCTTTATACTATCATGTATCAATGAGCTGCCATTCTCCACCTGCCTGTATAGCTTTGATGGCATCTTTAAGTGCCTAGCGGTTTTTGTTTGGCATTATGCCATCTCTGTTTTTAGTCTATCCCTTGAGGGGATGTCTAAACTAAAAATGTCCAAGGCATTTAAAAAAAAATCCGCTAAAGATGCAGATGTTTGTTTACAACTGTGTTTCCTTGGCAGCATGCCACCTTTCTTCCTGTACCCCGCTGCCAATTTGCCATTGAAACCACTGGCAATCATTGCCCGGGCAATCCTTCTAGGCTTCCTCCGAGTAAACAAACAACGATCAGAGATAAATCCTCTAAGGGGAGTCCCTTTGTCTTTGAGTGTAACAATTCTCCGCCATCTGTTTAAGGGCTTCGAGTATGCCATGAGGACAAACTGGCACACTGCCTCCTGGCTGGCACACTTCGTCTGGTACAAAAAGGGGGCAAAAAGTAAAAATGATCATTGCATTTTCAGAATCCATTGCACATCTCGAAGCAGATGGTCACTTTTAAAGAATCATCCATTTACATCTTCAGCATCCTTTTATGCCTTCGTCATTCATTCACATCTGAGTCATCGTCTGCAAGATGGTATCTCACTTACTTCAATGCTGCGCTTTGCCCGCATCTTTTCCGTATCTTCCTTTTCTCTGCCCGGTTTTCCGTTTATAATGCCCGACTCTCACTGTGCCAAGGTGGCATCACCGAAGCAGTGTGGAGATCTGTTTCTCTTCGTCGTTCGCTATCATCCTCCTCGCCCCTGCACCCATGCCCATGCCCGCCCTGCTTTAGTCCTGACTGGATGGCACCGTGCCAACCTGCCACTGCCATCGCTCTCATTTGTAGCTCATTCTTCCGTTGCCCTTCCCCCTGTCTCTACATTTCCATCCCACTTTATTCCGCTAATTTCCTTTCTTCACTTTTTAAATCGTTAACTCTCAGTTTATCATTATGCATCTTAACGTACATAGCTAACATCACTTTACTCAAACATTCATAACTTTTGTTTCTTCATAGAACCTACACAAACCGCCAGTCTTAATTGCCATCTGAAGGACTATTTTACCACCTGAAGGAATGATCTTGGTGGCAACCCTGCAGGTGATTACAGCTGCGGTTACTTATTCCACTGAGACAAGAGAAGGACAACCAGAGCCATGAGTTTGGAGAAAGCTGTGTTGTTTTAATTAACTTTTACCACCTCCCCCTCTGTGCTTCATTTCACTGCTCTAAGAGCTCTGAGTAGGTTGTTTTTGTTTCCACTGTACAGCATTATGATTGATGCGATTATCAGTAAAATTGATTGTGTACCATTGACCTCACCCACTTTACCAAGATGACCTACAGTCCTTTGTTTTTCCTCTTTTTTTCCCCCCACTCTCTAAATTCTGTTGTGTCAAACAAAAGCTGCCAGTGGTGGTGAAGCTATTAAGCAAATACTCTCATTATAACACAAAACATGATGAATATGTAAATGATGTGTGTAATTTATGCATGAAGGGAGACACTTCTGCTTTATTCCAGCTGCCATTGTTTTCCTCCATTTATATCCACTATTTTCTTAAAAATGTAAACTTTTATGACAATTTTCCTCTTAGTTGGGATCAAATCATCAGAGACATTTTGTGGGGGATTTCTAGAAGTTTTATTATTTTTTAAAACCAGTTCTTAGTGCTTTTAACCAGGGTGTGGTGTTTCTAATAGTGCCTCTGGTTCAACCCATTCATCCCTTTTTGCTCTCTTATCTAACAATCCATACTCTGCAAACACAAATCTTGGTGATGCTTTAAACCAACAACTTTGTATTTGAACAATGTTGTTTGTTACCTGGTTAATTTATATTTAAAATAAAAGCATCTAAATTGTGTTGCAGTTAACATTTGCTCTTGAATATGTCTTCCATTTGCCCTTATGTGACTGTGTTGATCTTACTGTGTGGTCCAAACTGTGTGGCACGTCCTGATAGATAGAGAGTAGCCTTCTCCTGTCTAGGATAAACACCTATAATACTCGAGCTCCCTTGGCAATCACCATAGCAACAAACCATGGTACTCACGTGAGTTGCATAATAAGATGTTCCCCAAGAATGAGGACCAGAAAACAGAGACACACTAGACACCTGCAGCAATGAATGCCCATGTAAAAAAGAACAAATCCAAAACGATAAGCCGATTTCTATAAAGATCTGACAACTTATTGATAATCTTAAAGTACCACTTGCACCTTTTTCTGTCTCTGCAGTTCTAACAGGTGCTGATGAGCTGCAGTCAATGATTGTAATGAGCTATCGATCACCGTGGGAAAACAGAGGGACAGAGAGGGGTGAGCGAGGTGGGAGAAACAAGAGGACCAACAGAGAGACAACAAGAATTGAAAAAAAAAAACAGCTAAAAGCTCCCCCAGATAGAATATCAATACTTGCTTCAATCAAGCCCACATATCCTTTTGTTGTATTTAAAAAGGGAAGTTATCGGACAGTGTTTCCTATACAGAGCAGCTGAGGGGCACTCAAGAGCAGTTTCTGTGCTTGCTGATTTAAAGATGACCATGCAGACACGCTTGTCATGACCGACTCCAGATGCCAGCGAATGGCACTGACGCAGTATCTCTATTTTCCTCTTCTTTTTTATGTGTATGCGGTGTGCAAGGAGTGGAAGGCAGACAGCTTTAGGGGAGGGGGAAGTGCGTTTTCCCTGTCTCTGTGTGCGCGTGTGTGTGTTGGCTGGCGTTTCAGATAATGAAATGCAGCAGGGAACAAAGAGCTGGGGGCCCCTATTCTCTGTGCTGCAGCTTCATTTTCACTCCTGTCAGTCTATGATTCTTCCATAGCTTCTTTCTTGTGTACATGTAACTGTGTGCGTGTGTGTGTGTTTATATTATATGAGCTGCTTGTGTTGTGATCAAGTGTGTCCCCCAACCCTCCTCTTCCTGTTAGCATTCTGCATGGCAGATTCCCCTAATGTAATAACTGTGTCTGCATGTCTAATTTACAGCAGGAGAGAGTAAATAGCCTGTGGTTAATTACAGTACGTGTGTGAGAGTGTGTGTGTGTATACGTGTGTGTCGACATGCGCGTGGGTGTGTCAGGATGATTTATGAGTTGCAAATAGCTACACCACTGCCCCGTTTCTCCTCACTTAGTTTTTTAATCTGTCTTTCCATTAATTTTCCTGGAGATGTTATTATGGTTTTATAACGGTGTGCAGGAGGATGCACTTGTGAATGCGGGCATTTGTTAATGAGACAGAGGTGAGGCCATTCCGCGTGTATCCAGCCTTACCTGGGGTTGCACTTCTTACATTTAGTCTCCTTCCGCCCGTTTGCCTTTTCTTCTTCTCTGGTGTTTCATTCACTCTTTTCATTGAGAGTCGCAACGAACACAGATCTTTATTGACAGTACATAGTGGAACATGGAAACAGCAGGTCAATCCGTTTAGCCCAAGGGCCGATACACCAATTCACCAATTTGTCAGTGTTAGTTTGAGGGAGAAAAGCAGCTAATCTCTCCTCTCTGCTCTCTATTGATCACACACTTAGACTCCACTTCTCTGTCTAAACACTATTGATTCCCCCTCTCTCTCAATCTCTTCCCCTTCTTCCTCTCTTTCTGGATTGCCTTCCTCACATACCAAAGCACTTGTCACTGCTCTTCATGTAGTAGTTACAAAGTAATACTGTAAGCCCCCGGTGTTGAAGTCTGAGTAACGTTTTGGATATTGTTTGTCTTATCTGTGCAGTTTTTTTTTTGTTTGTAATTTGGTCCATCAGAGTCACAAAGCAGCATCCCCTGCTGCGTATGTTCCAAATTTGCACGTTGTCTCATTAGAAAAATCAATTACTTAGCGACCCTTAAACAGCAGGGAATGCAGACCATGATTAAAAATTCACTGCTGGGTACACAGTCTCCTAGCTTTGTATTTTTTATTTTTTTTTTACTTGCTCAGTGGGTGCATATTGAAAAAGGAACAGATTTGTGTCAAGATGAAAGCTTTGTAAAACTATAAAAGAAAAATCAGTTGACCTCACAGCACCTTAGTCTTCATCAGCTCTGTGTTTGATTTTGTTTTGGTATCTCAAGCCTGCAGATTAACGTGCAGCCTAATTTGTATTGAAATTATTATACTTTAGGTAAAGCGTTGAAGCACAAAGGAAGCCTCAGATATGCTGCAGGCATTGATATTTCTAAAGCACGAATCAATCTAAGGGGATACCATCTATCTAATTAATGAAATGTAAACAAGAAGTCCCATCTGTTACTCACATGGTTCAAGCAGTTTCACTCGTCTATTTTCCTTTGCTTTTCGTTAAGCTTTTGCCCCCCCTACTGGTGAGGTTGAATCATTACAGTTGTTATAAAACAGGCAACACATGTCTTTTGTAACTACTGTCAGCTGGCGTTTGGTAACCGGCTGTGGTGCCTGGGAACGTAATGTTTGCTTCCTCTGCTTATTTTAGTTTACTTTAAATAATAAATCAGCATCACATTTTACAGCCAGGATGCCTCCTACAGTGGCCGGTGATCAAGCTGTGGTCAGGCAGATGTTGAGGGAGGTGCTAGTGGGTCGAGAAGATCCGGAGTGTTTCTTCGCGATGTGTCTGTCCGTCCTGGGAAACCAAGAGACCCGCTCAGAATTCCTGTCCGTCATCAAGCCGCTGTCCACAGCTAATATCCGGCTGCACTCAGTCCTCAGATCCCTCTATCAGGACTATTTCACTAAGGTCAGTGAAAAAAGAGGCTATATTTAAAAGTGCCTTTCTATTTGTTTTCTGTTCTGGTTAAGTGAATATTGTCACTTTTACTGATAAAAGTAAATTAAAAGTAAAGGATTTCTCCTTGCAATGAAAAGTGATCGAGGCTCGTTAAGAACATCTGTTAAAGCAAAACGTTAACATTTCCTCATGTTACAACTAGAAACTTCAATTTATACTTAAACTGTACTTCAGTACCAATAAGGGAATAATAATAACAATAATAATAATAGTAAAAGTATAATCAAGTTATAATCGTCATTATTTTAAGCTTCCATCTTTCCCTTTGTTTTGTTTTTACAAATGTAAATCTAAATAGTTTGGTATATATATTCAGTCAGTCAGTGAGGAAGGAAGGAAGGAAGGAAGGAAGGAAGGAAGGAAGGAAGGAAGGAAGGAAGGAAGGAAGGAAGGAAGGAAGGAAGGAAGGAAGGAAGGAAGATTCTTGAGGAAGGAAAAGGATGGATGGATGGATGGATGGATGGATGGATGGATGGATTCCTTCCTTCCTTCCTGACTGACTGACTGACTGACTGACTGACTGAAGTGTCAACTTTTCAGAGTAAATTTTACTCATTTTAGTGTCAAGATTAAGAGGACCTCTCAGAGACTGGCGGGGAATCGACCCAATAGAGTAAAAATGAGCCTGCATGGCTGTCAAAAGTTTTAAAGAGTAAAATAGTCGGACCGAATATTTAACGCCCATTTCTTTTTTTGCTATATATAAATGCCTAACAATTTCACATGCCTGGCTTTGTTTTTGTCTTTACCAAAATTTTGACATTATGATCGTTATTCTTTTGTTTTGTTCTTTTTTATAGTGTTTGAGCAACTATTGTGGGATTTGTTTAAACTTTTTAAATGCAAATAAAACTATGAATATTATGTTTGCAATAAAGCTAAATATAGTTTTTGTCAAAACTGGGAATTTGGTATCTTAGCATGTATATTTTTGTCTTTTTGTTTTTTTTTTAGACTGAGGATGATGAGCTGGAAATTGCTTTGGCTCTGTCTCTTCTGGAAATGAAAGAAAACCAAATGTCCGCTCCTAACCAACTGGTTCTTCAGGCTGGAAACGATCAAAGCAGTTTACCTCTGAGTTCAAAACCAACGTCTCAGGAAAAAAGCTTTTCCAAACAAGAAGATGTACCTGGCAGAGAAAAAAGTGAATTTACAGAGCAGTCAAGATCAAAGACTAAGGAAACCTTCCTTGACAATGAAAATGATAAAAGTCTGAGTTTTAAAAGTGGTGATAACCAATCACTAGGGTCAAGTCAGCCTCCATATATTCCAGGATCCTCTGCCTCATTTACCATTCCAACCACAGCATCCAAAAGTGACCAAATGATAAGGGGAGATGGGAATGTATCAGAGAAACCAAAGCGCCCTAAAAATAGGCGCCAGCGGCGAAAAGCAGCTGCCCAGCAGGTTGTAGGTTTGACCCGTTCTCCATCAGCACCACCACCTGTTTTACTCTGGTTCAGGAGAGATCTTAGACTCTGTGACAACCCTGCTCTCATCAGCTCTCTGGAGGTGGGTGCACCTGTCATCCCTATCTTTATTTGGAGTCCTGAAGAGGAGGAGGGTCCAGGGGTCACTGTAGCTATGGGCGGGGCTTGTAAGTTTCCATTAGACTCAAAAAAGCTGTCTTTTAAATTCTTTTATGTGTTGATATGTTAAAAGAATTATAATATCTAACACTTTTACTAATTGATTATTCTTTGTGAATCAGGTAAATATTGGCTTCATCAGGCTCTGTCTTGCTTCATAGCATCTTTGGAGCAGATCGGCAGTCACCTCGTCTTCTTTAAGGCCAGTAATGATGTAAATGAGGTCGGATCTTCTCTGAATACCCTAAAAACATTAGTAAAGGAGACCGGAGCACAAAGTGTGATGGCTAATGCTTTATACGAACCGTGGCTGAAAGAGAGGGATGATGCAGTCTCGTCAGCCCTGCAGAAAGAGGGCGTTGAATTTAAGTTGTTCCACTCGTACTGCCTCAGAGATCCATTTTCTGTCAGCACAGAGGGCGTCGGACTCAGAGGTTTGTCTTTACCATTTTGGTTTTTATATTAAATTGAAATGTGAACATTTTCTTTAGCCAGTTTTTTCTCTCTTTCTTTGTGATGTAGGAATAGGATCAGTTTCTCATTTTATGAGCTGCTGCAGACAGAACCCAGGGGCTGCTGTAGGCGTTCCTCTGGACCCACCGGTGTCTCTTCCCTCACCTGCCCATTGGCCACAAGGAGTCCCTTTGGATGCTCTGGGCCTGGCACGCATGCCACGCAGGAAGGATGGCACAATCGTGAGTAGGCATGAGAGAAAAGTCCCCCAAGGCTAACTAAAACCTGTTAGCCACTAAATTAGATAATTTAAGGCATTTATATTTGTATATTTTCAAATATTTACATGTTACTAATATAAAGACGAGAGTTTTTTTTACTGAGGTTTAGATTATGGCAAGACTGTTACGGTGTTAAGGCCTTTGATTGTGTTCTCCTTACAATTTCACATTTAAAATTAAAAGTGAAAAATTAACCATCAGATTTATCATTTAAACTTATGATTTTAGATGCATTCCTGTTTATTTAATCACATTGTGTGATGAGTATGGATGTGGCCAGATGTTGGCCATTCCTTCAGTGGACAGGTAGTGGATGGAGTCTTTTGTTTGAGTGCAAACTGACCTGGATTTAGAGCTAAACAGTTGAAGTTTATCCTGTGGATGTGGATTTTAAAAACATTGCCCTGTATGAAGATTAACACATAAAACCTTCTTGAACATGGACCTCATTAAGCGCACCAACAACCTGCAATATTAGTCTGGACAGTTCATTGGTTTACCCACTTGAAGACAAATGTTATGTCAAACCTGAAGCCCAGGCTGCTCTATGTGGCAACCGTTCAATATGGCTTCCTTTATTTTACTTAAATGTAATGCAGAGATGAAAAATATTGTAACACCGGTGAGTGTTACAAATAATCAGGCTTAGTTGCTTAGTTGACTGATTGTCAGCGGTGTTTATTTATTCTTCAACCACTACGCTAGGGATGCAGCACACACCTTAATAAACGCAACAGCCTTATCACTCAGGTTGAAACTCACATGCCCTCAACACATACCCCCAAAACAGCATGAACTGAGGCAAATACGAACAATAAACAACATGAGCAACATTTAAACAGAATAACAAGGAAATAAACAAGCAAACAAACCAAAACAGTGCCCCATAATGCACCTCTTCGTCCAGCCGCTACAATATGGTTTGTATGTGCATTCAGTCCCCTTAAGTTAAATATTAAACTTTAACTGAACCATTCCAAACATTGCCTTCCAATCAGTCTTTTGTAACATTTAAGTTTTTTTTTCTAATCAGCATTACTGTCCTCAAAAGCTTAATCTGTTTTTTCCTGATCTCTAACCAGTTCTCCACATTATAATTCTGCTACCACCATGTTGTTAAATGGCATCAGGATGATGTTTTATTTCATCCAACCAGAGCATCTTGTATACATTTGCCATGGCCTCTGGCGAACTGCAAATAGGTCTTTGTACATCTTTCTTTAAAAGATGGCGTTCTTCCTGTCGGTCTTCCATAAAGGCCAAGTGTGTGAAATTTACAACTCATAGTTGTCCTGGTAACCACTACTGTTGTAGTGGTTTCCGGCTGCCCCAGAGTTACCATTAGCCTCGGCTGCTTCTCTGATTGATGTTTTTCTGGCTCAGCCTTGTTGAGTTTTATAATCCTACCATCTTTTAGAGTTCTCCTGGTCCTCACTATGCTGTGTGCTCACTAAGGGTCTCTAACAAACACCTGCAACCTTTACAGAACAGCTGGATTTGTGCTGAGATGAAAATGCATTTTAAAGGATTCTATTTACTCAGTGACTTCGGGAGGCTAGTTTTATTTAGCGGTATAAATAAAAGCACTGAATAGAAATGCACACCTCAGTTTTTAGATTTAATAAGTTTATTTTTAAAGAAATCAGAAAGCCTTTTAGTACTGTCTCAGGTATACGTTTTACTCTGTGATACTTTATCACCTAATTCCCCATGAAATGCATTGAGATTGTAAAATGAAATAATGTGGAGAAATTCAGAAATGTTTCGATTGTTTTTTTTATTATTGTTACATTAAGGTTGACTGGGCAGCAAACATTCGGAAGTCCTGGGACTTCAGTGAAGATGGAGCACACGCCCGACTGGAAGCTTTTCTTCATGATGGTGAGACACCTTAAGCGCACATTAACTCTAGTACGGCTTTACTTTTAAAGGCATTAAACAGCTGCTATTTTTCTCTTCAATATCCAGGGGTTTATCGGTATGAAAAAGAGTCAGGCAGAGCAGATGCTCCGAATACCAGCTCCCTGTCTCCCTATCTGCACTTCGGTCAGCTCAGCCCACGCTGGCTTCTGTGGGACGCCAAGGGAGCGCGGTGTCGACCTCCCAAGTTCCAACGCAAGCTGGCATGGAGGGATTTGGCTTATTGGCAACTGACACTGTTTCCTGACCTGCCCTGGGAATCCCTCAGACCTCCATACAAGGTTAAGATAAATTTAGACACACATCGATTTATTATTCAGTGATTTGCATTAGCATAGCTGATTTGTATTGAGCAGCAGGAATTATTAATCTGCTATTATTGGCAGGCTTTGCGCTGGAACACTGATCGCAGCCACCTGAAGGCTTGGCAGAAAGGTAAAACCGGCTACCCGCTGGTTGATGCAGCCATGAGGCAGCTTTGGCTGACAGGCTGGATGAACAACTACATGCGACATGTTGTGGCATCTTTTCTCATTGCATATCTCCATTTGCCTTGGCAAGAGGGCTATCGTTGGTTCCAGGTAAGATTCTAGAATGTACAAGACGAAAGTTGGTGTCCAATTTGTAGCTTCAAAGATAGGACCTAGAGGGCTATTCTATTAGTTTTTAATAGCTACATTTTTATTTCTCCAGATCACTTTTGACTAGAAAGTGTGAAAACCATACTTCTAGTTGAACCTCGATTTATTTCTCCTTTACTACAGATGCCACTTAGCTCATTCTTTAAAATAGTTTGGGTTTAATTGGGGTTATAGGTGAAAGCTAAAACATAAATTTCTTTCATTGAATTGGTGCATGTATTTTATTCCCTTTTTTGATGAAGTAGAAACTCTCTAGTGATGCAAAAAATTGCACATGCTTACAGCTGCAGAAAGTCAAATATTTATTTATTCCCGTTTAGGACACATTGGTCGATGCGGATGTTGCTATAGATGCCATGATGTGGCAGAATGGCGGTATGTGCGGCCTGGATCACTGGAACTTTGTCATGCATCCGGTTGATGCAGCGATGACCTGTGACCCATACGGCAGCTATGTCAGGAAATGGTGTCCCGAGCTTGCAGATTTACCAGATGAGCTGATTCACAAACCCTGGAAATGCCCTGCATCCATGCTGCGACGAGCCGGTGAGGAATTTCTCAAAACTCTCAGGTTTGATAACTTCTTAATCATAGACCTAACTAAACTCATTTTATATCTGTTGCTTGTTAAGGTGTGGTGTTTGGCCAGACGTATCCTGAACGGATAGTAATCGATCTGGAGGAGCGAAGGACCAAATCCCTACAAGATGTAGCTCTGGTACGCAAGCAGTTTCAGCAATATGTCGACAAGCGCTCGGGCTGTGATCTGGTGCCTTTGCCCAAACGTCTAGTGTCTGAGGCTCTGGGTTTGTCCCACCGGGACGGTGCTGTGGTCACAGAAGGGAAACAATTCCTACTGCCTGTCATCACCCGCATGGAGTTCAAACACCAGCTGGAAGACCCGGACGCAGACGCAGCATCAAACCCCTACAATGCAGTCCTAAAAGGATACGTGAGCCGCAAGAGAGACGAGACCATCGCTTTCCTTAATGAGAGAGACTTTACGGCCAGTGTGATGTACGAGGGAGCTCAGAGACGGGAGAGGCTAGAGAGGGATCATCGTAGATTGGAGGGTCTCCCTCCGCCCCCTTCAGCCAGAGGAAAGGCCAGAAGGACTCCAACAGCCAAGGACAGATTCTCCGTGGTGCCTGGTGGTGCCATTGTTTCAAAGAACTGAATGAGAAATCAGCAGGATTGTAACATTTTTATATTATTTAAGTTAAAGTTTGATTTGGTTTTCTGATATTTTTTTTCTCTCAAAAGTGTACCTTACAGTACTGTCACTAACACTAACATGCTGGTTGAACTTACAGTATGTCTTTTTATGCTGCTACAAGATTTTGAAATGAAAGTGCCTTTTAAAAAGTATTCCTTAAACTATTTTTGTGTTTTTTTCTGTTTTAATCACAAAGTTCAGTGTACTTTATTGGGAGTTTCTGAGAAGCATCAGAACAAAGAAGTACACGACAATGATGAGGTGGAAATTATGCATTAGAAATTTCTCCAGGAATAAATATTTGAAATATTGGCAATTTTATTATCCATCTAACTCAAAACTGTTTTCCTGTAGGACTGGCTTATGTTTGGATCAGTTACTTCCCCCTTATTTTTCATTCTGATAACTGTATATTTAGTATCAGTTTTCAAACAGGCTCTAAACTTGGGCCTATTATCCAGGAAGTTTAGTTTTGGTTGCATAAAGTTCTTCCAACCATTGATTCTACTTCCTTCTGTTTTCTGTTCACAATTTGTCTATAAAGGCCATATTTTTTAATTGTTTCCCACCCGAGTTAAGGATTGCTAATGCTCCTACAAAGTCAGCATAGGTCCCTTTGCTGTCATCCCTCCCTGGCCAGTCACTCCAGGTGGATGGTCATATCTTAAAGGTTTTAAACCTTATCTTCAACTATAGGCTGATTTGTTTCTTGGTCATCTTGCTGTTTTCTAACAAACCTCTGGGACTTTTACAAACATTTGCCATTAAGATTAAATTTATACCCTAGTGGAATCTGTTTACCCACAGCTGGACTGTTAAAGGAAACCTGTTGCACTGAATATCTGCTGTCGCTACATGCTCAACCAGCAGGAGCAAACCCTGCAAAGTGACTCGATGTATTCAGCAGGGCTGGGTTGAGTTGTCTCTGTAAGGTAACTTGACATTAAATGTTAACAATGTGAGATAAATAAATAAGCAGAATTTAAAAACATAGTAAGGGTGTTAGAACAAAAAAAGATTGAGCACCAACTTAACAGACTATTGGAACTTTTATTCATAACAAAATGTGGCTAATATGCCTTCCATCTTATAACTTTCAGCTACTTTTAGTTGGTCTTTCATATAAAATCTTATATCTTCGTGTTGGTGGTCTTAATAGCTATTAAAACAGCTATTTGCTAAAAAAAATAGATATACTGATCAAGATATTAGAAAGTCTGTTCATGTTAAAGATGCAGTTATGAGAGAACATTTAAGATGTTTGGTTTTTTCATGCAATAGTGAAAAACCTGCAGTGGATCATCTTTATTTATCAAAGATCAACTAGGGTATTATCAAAAAAATAATGTTAAAGTATCCTGTTAAACTGCAGATACTTTTTCCCTGCTGTGCATTAAAGCACAGTTATCTTTTTCTTTTCCTATTGCATCAGTAAAGCTTTGGTTTCATCTACCTCTCATCTGCAGTCTTGGTAAGGTGGTTACCTTCCGTCAAATTGGAGCTGGTTCATTTCTACTCTTGTCACATTTTTGATGAAACATTCTCTATCCAATGGAAGTTTATATATATAATTATGGAGTGTAGTGGGAAAAAAAGTATTCAACTATTTATTCCAGTTAAATAAACGGAGATCGATGGATTTAACTTACAATGATGGAATGTAGTCAAAACAAATGACAGAGGTTTTGGTTAAGAGTAACATGTTATGAATAAACCTTGAGAAAGATTCTGGTTTGTTATGGGAAGAAGTATATCTTGTCTACAAACACCCCTCACTAAGGCATTGTGTGGCCTTGCAGGTGATACAGACCAAGTGAAACGTTTTATAGAGATTAAATACCATGAAACAAGAGAAATCTAAATTTTCCGACCACAGGGAGATAAAGGAAATTCTAAGTTTTTAACTTTTCCCTTAATTTCTCAGGCTATTTTTATTAGAGTGAAATTTCTACATATTAAACTCACATCTGTCCCCTACACACCCACACAATTGCCTTATTTAGAAGCTTGATCCAACCTGTTTTGATAAGCTCGTCAAATGTTTTTCAAATATGGGGAACATGTTGCAAATTTAGGTTATTATAATACAAATGAAACTCATTTTCATCTCACATTTCCTTATTTCAGATGAGCTCATTCAACTCTGCAACTGAGTAACATCTGTTGCATAAGTAAACTGCCAATACATACCATCACATGAACAATTACATAATCTAAGAAAGGTATTTTAGAAGATTGAGAATCCATTAGTTTGTAAACCTGTCATGGAGATAAACCTGAGATGGAGAGAAATGAACCAATATATGAAGAACAGGAGACCAGAATTTTTGTTGATGACTGAAAAAGATTTAATACCAAAACATTGATATAAACACCCCTATGTCCGTTAAAAAGGATTGACATCCTGCAACTTGGTTTAAGCCTTTAAAGATCAGTTTGGTGTTAAATTAATAGAATCCTTACATAATAAATTAGATGTTCTACTGCTTTACAATGCAAACCAATGTAACCATCATCTTTAAACTAGCTGTTAACCTTTTAATGTTAGTTAGGGCCCCTGATGCCTCTGACTGCTAAAAGCTGAGAAATTGCTGATTCAAGGGATATAACTTTTCATAGATAAACTGTGATAGGAAGAAACTCAGCCTTGATTTCCAATGTCTGAGGGAATGATGGGGTTGTAGCTCATTTCTTCCAGAAAGGAGAGTCTAAATGAATTTGCTGCAGGTTTCTCATCTGTCTAGCTAAATATTTTTTGGTTAAATCAGCAAGTTGCTACAGTACTGTCCTCACTCTAGCCTACTTTGAATAGGTATTAAAGTCATTGAATGATAAAAATCTGTTTTTTAAAGAGAATGAAAATGAACTAAAATTCAGAATAAATTAGCCGTGACGGCTAAAATGAAAATTGGACCACAAACTTTATCTAAAAAAGTTAGATCATCATCTAAATTAAATCCTAACAAGTTTCTAACAAGGGTTTCAGCACTTAGTTTTTCTTGGAGTTTGCAGTTATGGTTGTTACTTTTCCTTTGCAGTACTTGGTGCAGCAACAATAAAATCCTTCCATCCATTTTTTGTCAGGTATATCCCTGCTGGGGTTGCAAAGGTCACATCTCCAGCTGTTAATGGGCGAGAGGCAGGGTACACCCTGGACAGGTCGCCAGTCCTGTCCAGGGTGTACCCTGCCAAACAACCATTCAGAGACAACCAATCATTCGCACACAAACTCACACCTAAGAAGCCAATTATCCTAACAGTCATGTTTTTGGACTGTGGGAGGAAGCCGGAGCACCCGAAGATAACCCACGCATGCAAAGGGAGAACGGGCAAACTCTGTGCAGGAAGACCCCGGGCCAGGAATCAAACCCAGAACCCTCCTGCTGCAAGGCAACAGCGCTATCCACTGCACAGCCTGCCACAATGACATGCAAACTGTAAATTGATCTCTGATTTCTTTAATTTTTTTTATTAAGTTAGGGAAAAAATTCACACAAATATGTGAGGAATTGTTTATTTTTCTATTACACAGGCCCCATATCCACAGTGTAGATAAACCAGATTAATAACACCATAAAGACCAAAGTGCGTTTAAGTCTATGAATACTAAAGCAGAATTTTAGGTTTGATTGAAATGCTTAGTGGACTTTCTACTGCCTTGGTTTCATTTCTTGCGTTTAAATGTTTCAGAGTTATAAAAAGGCAGGCTGTTTATTCAGTGCAGACAGTTGTACTCAATAGGTAAAGACTTTCTAAAGTTCACATTTCTACGACCCAGTCAGATCAGCAGTACAGAGCTGTAGTTAAGCTTTGCTGCTGGATTCATTGTGATGGAACCGAGAGGCATGTCAAATGCATCTCCCTGCAAAGTAGCACTTAAAAAAAAGGATAGTATTCATGGAATAATCTAAGGTTAGTCCTCGATGGAGCGGATGTATTTCTCGTATGCCGCCTCGTCCATCAGAGCGTCGAGCTCAGCAGGGTTAGCAATCGTCATCTTCATCAGCCAACCTACAGGAAACGGGGTTTTTAGACATAACTTATTCCAAGGTTTGATCATCATGCAAAACATTGAGCAGCAATATAAGTTGTTTATGCAGCACAAAGCCGACTTAAAATACAATTCTAAAGAGCTTGAGAACTCATTAAACTCCTTTCTGGACACATGGAAGTGGCACCATTTAGACCTTGGAGCCTTCCAGGTTTGGTTTAGAGGGAAGAGAGATCTGCTTGTTTAAAAGACAGAATATGTTTTTGTTCTGCATTTCCCAGTAAGGTCATAAATATTGCTTAGTTGTTCCATTTCCATAAATTATTTTTCAGGTCTTACATCCCAGCAAACTACAATATGGCTGTACTGTGAAACCTACTTGATATAGGCTCCTGGATACAAAAATGTCATTTTTAGGACATTTATCTTTTTGTAGTCAAAATGATATGCTTGTACAATACTGCCCTCTGGTGTCTAACCAAAAAAGATTCCTGTAGAAAATTATAAAAACAATACTTATTTTATCTTTAATATAGCCAATATTATATTTGACCAAATAACTCAGTGTTTGGAATAGTTTATTTCTCAGTAAGAGGGGTTTATGAGGTTTATGAATAATTTCAAGAAATTGTAATACATTTAAACTGAATAACTGAGCATCCGCTCTATTTTTCCGCTAAAAGGAAGAACGTTTTCTAAAATTTTGTTTGTCTTTTTTCATAAAGCTGAAGAAGCAAACCGGACTGTAGAGCAGTAAGAGCTTTTGAGTGTGCTCACCATCTTTGTAGCAGGATTTGTTGACCAAACCAGGGTTGTCCGCCAGTAGTGTATTGACCTCTACAACTTCTCCAGTCAGAGGCGAATAAAGTTCACTCGCTGCCTTGACACTTTCCAGAGCTCCAAACTCATCTGTGAGAAACAAAGCACATACATCAATGGTTAATCTTTAAAGAAATGTAACCTCCATATATCAGTTATATTTTGCCTTCAAATCACTGAAATAGAACACAAACATCTATGTAAAGCACAAATACCCAACTTAGATAATGACTAAGGATGCAAGTTATCGATTCATGACGTAATTTAAAGTTGATAAATCTTATTGGTTTACTGACAAATAAATAGGCTTATAAATAAGCACCCATTTTCTTAGAAACTACAAATTGTCCTTTATTGAGAGGGTGTTTAAGACTCTTTTTTTCCCTCTCTCTTTAAACATATACCAATTTTAAAAAATAAAACAAAATCATATTTCAAAAATTGAACAGACTGTATTAACAATTGTGGTTTCCTCATACATTAACTAGATATTATTATAAAATATAAGTAAACAGGGCCCTAACTGCATGCTCTTAATGATCCCCTATGAAGGATGATGTCAAACTATCATTTAAGGACATGTCACTCTGACATATTGTGAGACTGTACATGCCAATTTATGTCCATATGGCGAGACACTTTGTGCTATTGGCTGTGCCTCTAAGTGGGTGGTTATGGTTGCTTTAAAATAATTGGATGTTAAAAGTTGGCTCCATGAGGAGCATTAATTCTATCAACTGCTCCTATTAGTACACATTTTTTTAATCACCTTACAAATGAAATTCTTATCCTTTCTCTGTCATCACATCCTCGCTTTACCAGCATGCTGGTATTTTTAGGTTGAGAAGTTGACACTATAATTAACTACCCATGCAGCATTAATTAATGGTTGCTAATTAGGAGATAACAGGTTTGTTGAGTACTTATATTTAAAAACAGAACTCCACATAGTGGATTCTGTTTTTTTGTAGCCATTAAAATAATCCTAAACCTCACTCTGTTCTGATCGTTTCATGTTTCTGTTCTCTGCCATGATTATTTCTCTCACAATCAGTATAGGCTTCACTTAGGGATAAACAGCAGCGCCCTCTTCTGGAAGAAGACTGCACTGTAATACTGAAAGAAGTCTTCTCTATTATCAGTAGGGCTGGGCGATATGGAAAAAAAACTATATCTTGATATGGATTATTTTATATCACGATAACGATATATATCACGATATACCACAACTGATGTTGCATTTTATGTTTTCATAGTCCGTCAGATGGACAGGGTTGAAAAAAATCTTTCATCGCCTATTTTTTACCCATCATCTTGTTTCCTAATATGAGAATCCCAACTCCAAACCAAGAACACCAGTTATGCAATTTGCGGCCATGACAGTGAACAGTATAGAATCTTGGCTATTGTGCTGCAGTAATTAATCATTTAATATTAGTTTGTTATTGACATTTTATAAAATTCCAAGGCCAGGTTTTTCTCTTGTCTTTCACTTACTCATATAAGGCTGTGTTGCTCTACTCATCCACATGTCCGTAGTCAACGCATAATGCGTCGCACCACTGCGTACCTCTCTCTCCACTTCAGCCCGACAACTAGCATATAAGCCAGGCAGCTCCACTTTACTGAAATGTTTTCGACAAGGCATCACATATCTGGGATCGAGTGTAAGGACTAGGGCTGCAACTAACGATTATTTTAAAAATCGATGAATCGGACGATTATTTTTTCGATTAATCGATGAATCGGACAAAATATATTTTTTATATTAACCTCTTTATTCCAAAATAAACATTATAGACAGAACAAACAAGCACACAAGTACAGGTTGCTCATTAACTGTACTGGTGCAATATGAAAAATAAATGTTTGTGTTAAAACTACGCAAACTTACATGAGAAATGTAGCTGTACATCCACAAAATATAGGGTACTTTGTTTCATAAAGCGCATAAAAAGACATTTTTGTTTTTAAAAGCCTCTAAGGGGTTCAAACAATAGGTCCCCCCATTTCAACAAATGAGTTTTTTTAGACTAGAAGAGGGCTGCCTTTTAAGACAGGAAAGTACAGCAGTTAAAGTTGCTACTTGAGAAAATACTGAACCATAGAGATAAAAATAGCCCTGTGATTCAAATTATAAATTGTATTTGGAATAAAAATGAGAGAACTAGGGGTGCTAAAAAACACATCCTCCAAAGACAGATATTTACATGGGAATGTGGCAGATAATTAATTGACATATTACTGATCTTGCTGGATTTTATTCTGCTTTACTTCTATAAATTGCAGGATCTTCTTTACTTTATCTTTGCCAGAAGATTTAAACTTTAAAAGTCTTGCCCTCATAATTTGCAAGTTAATTTATTTATAAAGTAAATATAAACGCTGCTTAAGCTAATTCAAATGAAATTAAAAGTAAAATAAGTAGCCAACCTTATCACTGTCTGTAACCTACTAACACGGTAAGGAAAGCATCAGATGAGCTACCTGAGAAACTAACGTAACGTTTCCCCCACTTTAAAACCAAACAAACATGGTGGTTCCGTGCCATGTTAATTTCTTTTGAAAAGAGTTGCATGTTATCACTTTTTTCGCTTTACAAAGCACAGGCTATTTTAATTATTGTGATCAATTTGCGCCGTCAATCCCGGTGCATGCGCGCTTCATTTGCAGTCTGGACGCTGAGGCTCTGACTGAGAGGGACTACTGCGGGAAAAAGCGGTTGGTGTGGGGGAGGCGCCCCACGGCAGAGTAGGAACGATACATGCTTTCACGTAAGAGTCTCCAAAAGCCGCCAGTGACACCGAAAAAAGTCGCCAGATTTGTCGCTAGTCGCTTTTTTGAAAAATAGTCGCTGGAGGGGTCTGAAAAGTCGCGGAGTTGGCAACACTGCACCTGCGGCGCTGACTCGCTCTGCCGTATTTTTTTTTCTTCCTCTTTCAGTCAAGAGGCAGTGATGACGGCGCGGCGGATGACGCAATAATCGCGCGACACAACTAATCGATGATGAAATTCGTTGCCAACGCTTTTAAAAGTCGATTTTTATCGATTTTATCGATTCGTTGTTGCAGCCCTAGTACGGACGAGGTCCCGAAAGCTGTCTTTCTCGACTATGTAAACGGGGGCCATGCCTTTACAGATATAGCGTGAAATAGCACCTGTGATCTGCTTGTGTCGCTGAGATGTCTTCTCATATTGTGATCCTTGGGCGAATGCTTCCTTAAGCTTCGGCTGTGAGAATTTCTTTCCAGTGCTTCCTGTATTTTCATCCCTTGTTTGTTTTGATCGGAGTGGTTGTAGTTTCCCGTGTTCTTGTTCATGATTTTTCTTCAGGTGGTAAAAGAGGCCGGAAGTATTTGCATCAGCCGCTGGAACGGCTTTGCTGCACAGTTTACATATCGGCTGCGTTTGTTCTTTATCAGATGGCTGAAATCCGAAATATAACCAAACAACCGAGCTGCCTCCCCTTTTGGGCAAAAGTGGTGTTTGTTGTGTCTGTGACCTGGCAACCGTTTCGGACTCTGTAACCGCTGCTGTGGTAACATCTTCTTGGGTGTCCATCATTCATTTTTTTTCAAGCCAGAAAGAAATTTCGCGGGCTCTCTCCGTCAGTAATGTCGCAAACGTATGGTGCAAAGCCGCGTGACGTAAAGCGGTGTAGTGTCGCAAAACCACGTTCTCTACACATTATCTTTTTTATTCTCTTTTTTTTTTGTTATATACACTTAGAGTTTGCATAGCAAAAACGCAAAATGTTATATTAACAAATTATATTAAAGTGTATATTAGCAGTAATAATAATAATAAAAAAGTTTATCACGATAGAAAAAAAATAGAGGAGAAAGGTCACGATAGACATGTTTCTCTCGTCCTCACGATATATATCGCCATATCGCCCAGCTCTAATTATCAGTTGGAATACATTTTCATCTAAACCATCGTTTGCATCTTTAGCTATAAAAGAAAATGCAAATATAACAAATATTCAAAACGGAGTTGAATGACAGTTTTGTTTCATTTTAAATGTTTTTTTATTTTCTAGATTAAGCTCTCACAATTGCTATCACCATTGATGAAAATTACTGTTTTTTTGTAAGTTGGAAAACCTACAAAATCGGCATCATATAAACATACTTTGATAAAAATATTAAAGCTGAATACAATCATGCATATAATTGGTCAAGATAGATAAGATGCAAAGACCTATGTAAGCTGTCATAAAGGGCCATTAATGCAAGCCAGACTAGTAAAAGAAGCTGTGACAGGTTGATCAGACTTTACAGCATCTAGAGTCAAAATGCCAGAATCCAACTAGAGCTGCACAATAGTTCAATATATTGCCCAACGTATGTGTGTATGATTACAGTGTTTGTAACTGACTAATGTTCTTCTTTTAATGTGGTTTTTATGTGTTTTCAATAGTAAATATATCTCTAAAATGTTAGTTTAACTATGTTTAAATAACCTTTTTAATATAAGTTTCTGCGGGCTTTTGTTTTGGGTATCCTTGGCAGTGTTTCTAAACCTTCTATGTTGTTTAAACAACATCAAAATCATATCTTATATCAAACAAAATTAAGGAAATGTATTGTGATTTTGGCCATTTGGCCCAGCCCAAACAGATTAATTTGAGTAATAAATTCAACTAATAATAGAAATAAAACTAAACATAAAACAAAAATTATCTGTCAACAATTTCAATATAAATCTATTTTTTCTTATATAGAGCATTAACAATCTAAAGAAAAGATGTGGCATTTTATTTAAAATATAGTTTAAAGATGTAACTTATTCACTTATGACAAATATACAATATGTGTTTTTCTATGAAAACTTTCAGAAACAATAACATATTAGATAACTGACACTTTGCTTAACTCAAATTAGTGAGCAACATTGATTGAATAAGCTTTATTGCCATTATACCAAATACAATGAAAGGTCATTTGACATATTTTTAGTAATGTCAATACCAGATATAATTAAAATATTAACCCTTTATAGGGGAAAATAGCATTTTTGCTCACTTGCATACCCCTTACAAATGGAGTCCAGCGCCCCCCATGTCCCTTAGGGAGGTCTAGAAGCACAAGATCTATATCCAGCCATTCAGCAAAGATGCTGCTACATGGATGTGCATCTTATTGTGGCATTTGAGCAATTAGATGAGCCCTTGAATGATATATTACCTACTGTAAATTCAGTTGAAAAAAAAAAGTTAACAAGTCCAGAAAAAAAAAATGTAAAAATCCATTTGAAATTTTAAAAAGTTAATAAAGCTAGTAAACAATTATATTTGTTTACTAGTAGTATCAGCATTAATGCCTCTAAGGCAGGGCTCTTCTACGTTTTCCAGGCCAAGGACCCCCAAACTGATGCGAGATGGTGGTTTTTTAATGACTTTCTTATAGATGCACTTCTGTTATTTTTCTTAATATATTCGGGCAAGTTGGCGTTTCTTGTTAATACATTGACATACATTTTTCCCATTAAAAAAATTAAAAAATTTTGAAAATTAGAAAGGTGATAAGGTATTTTTCTGGATTCCAGTAACACTCTGGCTTGAAACTTTGATTTTCAAAGTATTTCACTGAGTGCCCTATAAAGGATTAATATATTGTCATTATTAATATGTGCAGTAGTCTATGGAGTGTTTGATTTCCCACAGCAGTTGAACCCACAAGAGATGGGTGATAACTGGATAGTTTGTGTTTAAAAACTGTTAACCAGCAAAGTCTTCCCACAAATTGCTTTTAGCATACAAAGCAGAAACGCCATGTTTCAAAATAACAACCAATATCAATCAAACAAGCGTTTACAGATGATGACATAACTTTGAAGAAAAAAAAAAAAAAAAAAGAAAAAAAAAAGGGGCATACCCTGCTGAGCTAGCTGTGTTCCCACCTCTGGCAGTCCACAGTAAACTACATCTCCCAGAGCCTCCTGCAATCGATCGAAAACAAGGTCAAAGTTCAGCCTAAAATCCTTCAACTTCAGTGCATAATGGTCACATTCTGGAAACTTACTTGTGCAAAGTTGCTGATTCCGACTGTACCCGTCCCGCTATCGTCTACTCGAACCCATTCGTGCTTGTCTGTGAACTTAAGAGCTGTAAGATAAAATAAACTCTGTAGTCCATGGATGATGTGATAAACACGCAGCAGAGCTGACATTCTATCATGTCGCTTTTCTCCTCCTGCTCCTGGGAAAATAGGCTAACATGCTGCTCTAAACACATTCAGGGCCAAATACCTTCTGATAATCGGCTTGAAGAAGCTATTGTCCTTCCATAGTGAGGCCGAAGTGCCGGTCTCTGAGGAGAGAGCAGCGCTGAGCGGGTCAGTAAAGACCGAAATGTGGAAAAGTTTGAAGAAAATGAGCGGAACAAGCCACAAGCGGCCATCTCTGCCGCTAACTAAAGGGCGAGAATCTTCACTTCTTCTTCGGTGGTTTTAGAAGTGACACGCGCACTGTGCTGCCATCTTATGGCTATATTTTTTTAATAGTTTTGGAGGTATTTGCAATCTTATTTAAGACTGCAAAGCACGAGCTTTTCCAAGTATTTGGTCGTATTTTACTTTTTAATAAGAAGCCACTGATTAAAAAATGTAAATAAACGGAAATCAATGTTTTTGTTGACATTATTCTAGAATAGTACTGCGTTTTTTTAAATTTATTTTTATTATTTTTTGAGTTTTCTCGAAAGTAGACTGACAGGAAAGGGAGTATGAGAGAGGAGCAGAGACATGCTGCAAAGGACCACAGGTCGGATTCGAACCCTGGTTGGTCCGTACATGGGTTGTGCGCACTAAACGCTTCACCACCTGCACGCTCATACCATGTTGCATCACTAAGGGAGCATTTTAAACCTTTTTTTGTCATTACACTGCCACAAGTACAGAGAAATTAAATGAGCTATCTGCATTTAACCCATCCCCTTGGGAAGCAGTGGGCTGCCATTCTGCGGCGCCCAGGGAGCAATATGGGGGTTAAGGGTCTCTGCTCAGGGACCCAGAGTGGAAGTGGGGCTTGAACTCAGAACCTCAGGATTTCAAGCACAATGCCCCAACCAATAGGCCGCCACTCACAAAAGCAGGCATGTGCATGAAGGGTCTCGTCTAAGGACCCACACTGGCAACTCCTTCCCCTCAGGTGGGATACGAACCAAGGTGGGATACGAACCAAGGCCTCCTGTTTGCAGGAGTCATGACTCACCACTTGAGCTAGCCTTGAACTTTATGGGTCCCTGTGATTACAGAAGAACCTGTTATTCACTTTTCGTTGTTACTTCTGCCAATGAGGTTATGTTAGTCAAGTCTGTGCGTGTTTTTGTCTTTCTGGGCATCTGTGCGCACGATAACTTGAAAAGTTATGAACAGGTTGTAATGAAATCTGTACCAAAGGTGCACCCTAGTGCAATGAATATTCCATAAAATGTTTGTGATGTTCTACATCCTTATCTGGATGGAGGAATTTTTAAAGTATTTTATCTGTGAAGATTCTCAGTCATCCAGGTCATGCATATCCGACATCTTCCAAAAAAACTTCACATCCAGTTGCCTAGACCAAACTTTTTCAAGCTTTGAAATATTCTGTTCCATAATTTGGAGGAACAAGCAGCCCCCCCCTTTTCTGGACTCAGAAAAGTCCCAAAGTATTATACTGAAGACAAAAACACAGGAAGGGTGAGCCATGACTCACTCAAAGTCTCAAATTTGCTGATCACACACAGCACAGAGTGAATGAAGAGGCACTGCTCTCTGACTGCTTTTCTAGTTACAAATGAGATTTGAAATGTTTAAAAGGAAACATTTAAATTTTTCATTATATTCATTTATTTCTAATAAAATATAGGGTAATTTTATGGTAAAATGTAACAAAACCTTACCATTACTTTATGAGGTAGAAATTGGGTTGCTCTTTTGCATGTTTTTTTTTTCTTTTAAATGGTCCAACAGTCCAAATATGCTTTAAATCTTAAATATTGTATGTTTGAAATATATATAAAAAAAATCTAATCCCACAAACAAACTGATGTAAAATATAAAGCAAAACCTGCACTTACTGGACAATTTTATAAAGTTGAGATTTCCCCCTCTATGGCCATCTGTTTTTTGAAGGCACATGGCCTCTGGATCAAACATTTTCTTTGCAAGCCTTTTTGTGCTGGGTTTGCAGGTTCCCTCAATATCAGCATGGTTTTTCATGAACATACATGTTAGCGGACTGTAGGAGTGCTTGTTTGTATGCCTGAGTTTTCCTACGTGAAGCATGAAGTGCATGAAGACTTGTAGCATCTCACAGTAAAAAAAACCCGACCTAGAACTTAAAAACGACTACTTACCTGAAATGCAGTCTCCCATATATGGTAGTTAACTTAGAGGGTTAATCAAAGATCTATACGTAGTTCCTACATCAGTTCAAAGGTCTGCTTATGAGCAAATGGCTCTTATTAAACCTGCTTACAACTCATGAGCAAAATAAATCAGAACCTGTACAATTTTTCTGTAAAAAAGTATATATATATATATATATATTTTTTTTTTTTACCTGTACAACCCCCCCTTCATCATAAATCATGCCAGATTTTGACAGTACAAACTAATGAGTGCCCTAATGATCAAAACATGATCATTCACTTCAGGACAAACAAAATAAAATGTAAATTATTTATTAACACATTCTTTTCCATACAAAACAATAGAATATATAAAGAAAAATTACTCTCATGCCTGGGAGTTTTACTATTGCTTAAAATTGCATTAGCTGAGGAAATGTCATTTACAGAATAAAAATGAAAAAGCATATTTTCACACAACCACCCACTCCTTTTGTCCTTCTCTGGCCGTATATGCTATGCTGTAAAACAAAGTAAAACAGAATGACTAGAAGGGTCTTCCCCTACACCTGGGCTAAAAAGCTACCAACATAAATAACAAAAAGCACATTTGTTTGGCTTTTATTTTACACAGCTTTAAGAGTCCATCCAGTGTCCACTTTTTTGATTTTTCAATGATTGTGAATATGAAAACAAAAGCAACAATGACAACACTGATAACAGTAATTCAAACCGACAGCTCGCAAAGAGGAGAAAAAGAGTGAAAAACAGACTGGGTTTGGTTTATTTCCTCCGCTAGAGCTCAATGGAAGCTTGCTGGCCCATGAAAAGCGTGTAACATGTCTGTTAGGTGCCTCCTGTGTTGGGCGGGTTTGGGGTGATGGTGGTGTGCGAGTGCTGGCGGTCCACAGCAGGGAGAAAGAATGGGGGGGAAATCTTTTGTCTCTAGAGTCTCTCTCCTCGCTGCAGGAAGGAAAACTTGGGGAAAGGGAATGCCAACAGGCTCATCCTGGTCAGGTTACCATCGTGGTACCACAGAAAACACACACTCCTTGGCATCTCAGTGAGCCAGACCCAGACCCCCCCGGCTGGATTTTAGGTGGCTCGCCCCTCCCCATCCGCTTCCTGCTTGGTCCGGCGCAGGTTACCCTTCATCTTCACAAACTCGGGGGTGTTTTCCTGTTCCTCTTGCATTTTCTGCTGCTCCAGTTCAAGCTGGACAACATGCAACAGATTAAATGCATAGTTCATTTTAATTATTAAAGTAAGCACTGAATAAAAAAAAAAAAGATCAAAGGGTTACCTGCTCCAGCTTCTGTTGTCTTTTCATAAGCTCTATTTCCAGGTCACTTAGTTTCTTATGAGCCTCCTGCTCCTCCTTCTGGGCCTTGATAACTTGCTCCCTCTTTCTGTTTTCTAGAACTTTCTGGAGCTCTGGTTTGTTCTGAGGAGCAAGACCCCTTTACAGCAGAGAGGAAGAAAAAAGAAAAACGATGAGAAAACACGTCACTAGAACCAAGCTTGAACAAATCTTTGCTACTAAAAGCTCATGGGATTTCCGGAGTGCATTTAGTGGACGATTTCCTAGGATTTATTCAGAACAGATGAGCACCATGACCTCATTCGAGTTGGTAAAGTCGGTGTTACATGAACAGGATTACATGTCAATCATGTAAAATAAAAAAAAGTTTTGATTTTAAGCCAATTGGAGATGGTGCCAATGTTAAAATCCTACTGAAATATGGACTAAGACAGTATTTCAGACTGTAAAATGTATTCACACCCCTTGAACTTCTTCCCAAATTGACAATGTTTTACAGAGATTATTTGTAGGAGAAAAAAAAAAGAGAAAACAAACTAGAAGTGAATTGTGAAAGGGAAGGTATGCATAGTTTTCTAAAAAAAAAAAAAAAAAAAAAAAAAAAAACAGTCTGACATGTACTCCTCTGAATAAAGACTTAAAATTGCATTGAAAAGTTGATTCTTCTATTCTAAAACCTCAAAGGTGATTCTCCATCAGCACTGCAAATTTACAAAGTGGATGAAGTATTTGCCAAAAATGAACATTACTATTCTACATGCAGAAAGATCTATGCAGAGATATTCTCCACCTTAGCAGGGACAAGGAAACTCATGCACACAATTTTTAATATTCCTATTTTGCAAAAAAAAAATAAATATGCATAATTTATTTTCCACATCAAAACTTTGCACCATAAGTTGGACACAACACTTCTAGGCTGCAACCTAACAAAATATTTAGAAATTTAATGGATATAAATAGAACTGCAAAGTACTGCTGTTGGCTGCTTGAATATTTTAAACTATCCTGGGACACATTTCTCCCATATGAGTCTAAGGAAAGCAGAGTGGTTGGCGCACGGTTAAGAAAGAGGGAGTCATGCTAGTAGAATGTGAGGAGGAAAGTTATGTAATCTACAAACCTCCTCCAAATTAAATGAAAAGGCAGAGGAGGAGAGTCACGACTGTTAAAAACAATAATAAGCTATCCACTTCAGATTCAAATTATCCAATGTCTTATTGGCTGCTTGCTCCCTCCTAAAATGATCAGCATGACAGTGTTTCTACCTGCCCACAGTTCAGCGGCAGCAGCATCTTAATTAAATGCACGATTAAATCCTGCAGATTGCATAATCAAGCTCAGAATGTTCCAAGATGCAGCGGGAGTTTCTTATACAAGGCGTCACTTTTTTTAATGCCTTATGAAAGCACTTAGCAACACTGAATTAGAGAAGACTGCAACATACTGTGCAGCATTAAGGTATCCAGTACATAAAGGGAGATGAGGCTGTAAACCCCCCCCCCCATAAACTGGATGGTGTTCTGTGTTTACATAATCTGTGGCCCTATGAAACGCCTCCCCTACAAAGTGCACATCTTTAAAAAAAAAAAAAAAAAAAAAAAAAAAAAAAAAAAAAGGGATGAGTTTGAATTTCTGAAATTCTTCCACATCAGTGTGTGGGAAGGGTCACTGTCGCCAAGGTAGCAGAGGCAGAGAAAGGCTCTCAGCTGAAGACTGTTTTGTAATCTTGATTACATAACATGTTTTTTTTTCTTTTTTTTAATCCATCTACTCATCCAT